TTAGAAGTATCTAATCATTAACTCTATTGACATCATGGTAAAATGTATAAGATAGCAATTTTAAAATATTTTTCCAAATGAGCACTCTTTTATACCTGGCTTCATAACTAAAATGCCTCCTGGAGCTAACTAAGTAGGTTATGTACAGGAGTTAATAGTGAACATTATTAAGTACTTATGTGCCAGACAAAATTGGAAGTACTTTTTAAAGTAGTAACTAATTTAATCCTCACCATATCTTTTATAAGGAAAGTACTCTATTCTTCATATTCTATTGAATTTCACTTAACTTTCATTGTTGGAGGTCAAATACAAGAGAAGGCGCTCAGAATATCCCCTATCAGATCATGGCATAGCAATATGCTAATTCTGTGTTTTATTTATTCCTATTTATCCTTATAACCTCATTGCCATTCCTCTCTGCCTCCCAAACTTGAGGTAAGATTCTAATATGTTTACTCTATACATTTTTGTTCGGGGATTGGTAAAATGTGTATTTTTCTACATGAATTTTTCTTTCATGTAAACAGCGTTACCCTCTAGAATTCATTCTGTTTCTAGCTTTTCAGTCAATGTTAGGCCTTTAAATTCCACCCATGTTGATATGTGTGCATTTAATTTATTGTTTTTAACTGGTGCAAAGTGCTCCATGATGAGTGCCTGCTACATTTTCCCTATCCACTCCCCCAGCTATAAATATCCAATTTGCCTCCTATTTCTGCCACCCAAAACAAATGTTCTAATTTTTGCTTCATTTGTTCCTTGTGTTCCAAATGTTCCAATAAATGTCCTACTACATGTTCCCTGTTGTACCTCTGTGGAAATTTCCTTGGGACACACACACACAAAAACAGAAGCAGAAAACTGAGATCAAAGCATATACAGTGGGGCCTTGACTTACGAGTTTAATTCGTTCCGAGACTGAGCTTGTTAAGGAGCTCGTTAAGGATCTCGTTAACTCAAATTACTCTGTCAACTCAATGCAAATAATCGGCGGAGAGACAGCTGGTATCTCAAAAAACTCATTAGTCGGGACACTCATAAGTCAAGGCCCCACTGTACACATATATGACTAGTTCTACGATCCCAGCAGCAATGAACTAGGGTTCCCATATCTTCACACAACTCCAGTTCTAAGCACTACCCAGCTCCATAATTTTGGATTTCATACATTTACCTAATAGCCACAAAATTATACCATTCCCATTTTGAAAATGTGAAACCAGAGGTACAGAAATACTACCTAAGGTCATGTAGAAAGTGATGGAACTGGGATTTCAACCCAGGTGGGCCGGCCCCTGAGCCCACACTTTTAGATAACTATTCTATACTTCCAGCCTAGAAGGCAGGAATAATAAAGCACCAGGAATTGTGATAGACTAGCGAGCACAGGCACTGCCTTCTGGCATTTAAAAACCATAAACGATAACTAAGGAATGTGGCAAAGTAAACACATCAGCAGGCTGAATTTTCCCAAAGGCCACCATGATATGATCTCTACACTGTATCATGATTTTTATTGTCAGTGGAGTCTTTGCTAAACCTGACATTAGTAGCTACAGCCAATGGTTAATAGACAGCTCCCATTGTGAGGCACAAGTCCACTTTATTTTTCACAATGGGGAATGTCTATTAAACATCTGCTGTAGCTACAGCTACGGAGAGCACATTTTGTTTCCCATGGCTGAGTCATAATGGAAATGTGCAAATGTATGTTTGAAGTTATGAGTGTGAATAGATACATTAAACTGATACTGAGACTATATAAAAATCTTCCTCAAAACTTTTAGCAATTAAGTCTATTAGATGAATGCCAAAATGTATAATACCATTCTGCATTTTACAGGCCAATCTAGTCCAGGGCTCACACATCCTACACAAGATAGAAATACAATCATTCATTTGTTGTGATTGTCTATAAGTCAGGAAAAGTTTCCTATTTCTCTCATGATTTAAATAAAAGGTTGGCTGAAGAAGGGAGCAATATAATTATGCTACATGAAATAAGTCAGTCAGAGAAATACTACATATATCATGATTTCACTTATGTGTGGAATCTAAAGAACAAAATAAACAACGACAAACAAATAGGGAACAGACTCAGAGATACAGAGGACAGTCTGATGGTTGACAGAGCAAAGGGGGATTGGGAAGCTGGGTGAAAAAGTCAAGGGATTAAGAAGTACAAATTGGTCATTACAAAATAGTCACATGTACGTAAAGTACAGCACAGGGAATACAGTCAATAATATTGTAATCACTGTGCATGGTGCCAGGCGGGTACTGGAAATATTGAGGAGAACACTCTGTAAAGTATCTGATTGTCTAATCACTATGCTGTACACCTGAAATTAAAAGAAAATAATATTGAGTGTAAGCTGTAATTGAAAAATAAATGTTAAAAGGTACTTGGAAAACTATGGTGTCTCTCCAACACAATTCTTTAAGCCTTGCAAAAAGATGTTAAAGTTTCAAAAAGAAGAAGGCATTTCCTAATACTGCCATCTCACCCATCCATTTTTCAGAACATTGTAATATGATTTCAACCCCCATTATTTCATAGAAAATACTCTTATGAAGTCACCAATGATCTTTTAATTATGAAATTTAATAACTATTTTTATACTTTATTTTTATTGTTGACACTATTACACATGTCCCCCATCACCCCCCTTTGCCCACCTCTACCCAGCTCCCACCCGACCCTCCCTCTAGAAATCACCACACTGTTGTCTGTTTCCATGGACTATGCATATATATTCTTTGACTAATCCCTTCACTTTCTTTTATCCATTCCTCCCCACACCTCTCCCCTATGATCTCTGTCAGTCATTTTGTTCCATGTACCCATGCCTCTGGTTCTATTTTGTTCACCAGTTTATTTTGTTCACTAGATTCCCATATAAGTGAGATAATATAGTATTTGTCTTCCTCTGACTGGCTTATTTCCCTCAGCATAATAATCTCTAGGTCCATCCATGCTCATCTAAACTTAATTCTCAACTTAATTTGCTCATATTAATTACATTCTGAATAGTTTCCAAAAGTTATCATTTTCTGATTCTTTTCCTACACTTACTTTGTAATTGATGTAAAATTTTTACTGATTTGGCTAGGATGGTATGGTTCAGTGGGTGAGCATCGACCTATGAACCAGGATATCATATCATCTTTCGATTCCCTGTCAGGGCACATGCCCAGGTTGCAGACTCGATCCCCAGTGGGGGGTGTGCAGGAGGCAGCCAATCAATGATTCTCTCTTATTGTTGATTAGAGGCCTATTGCAGAAAGAGATTCCTGCAATAGGCCTTCCCTTCCCTTGGCTGCTGGCACCAGTTTTCCTCTGGCACCCGGGACCCAGGCCTTCGCTCTGGCTGGGCTCCGGCCAGAGCCCCCCGCCAGCCGTCAGGCTTCGCTGCTCCGCTGATCCCGGGGCCAGGAGGTCTCATGGCTCTGCTGATCCCAGG